CTGTATTCAGTAAAGGGGATGATTCCAGAGGACTAATGATGACACATGCTACTGACCTCCTAATGCAGGTGATGGATGCCAGGGACAGAATAAGAAATACATTTTGGATGCACCCAGGGGGTGAATGTTCTGACAATCCATATTTGTTATAAGGGTTTTGTTTATTTTTCAATTGGAGAAGAAAATGGTAGTCTAATGTTACTGTTGCCACAAAAAAAAAGAAAATACAAGAAAGACAAAGATCATGGAAGTCATTTTACAGAAGTGCATAGGAGAGAACAGAGGGAAGACCAGGAAACGGAGAAGCAGGAGAGCTTTGAAAATTACATTACATGATGATTTTATTATATGCTTAAAAGAAAAAGCAAGCTGCACAATCACAATCTTTTTGTTTTATTTTGCATATAAATATACTCATTTTACTTGGTGTTTAAGTTCAAAATAAAAAAATCAAAAAGAAAATGTACATACAGAAGGGGTGGGGGAAGCTAGGGCAGGTAATGAAAACTAAGCAGAAAAGCTGGGCATGGTCTTAGTTTCAGGAGTGCTAAAGCTGAGACTGAGCTGAAGCTGTTAAGTAAACTTAAGGCTATCAAAGGTTTCGTTGCTGTTGTTTTTAAGCTATCTCGGGAAGAAAGGAGAACTAACAGAGAGATAAGATTGCTGCTCAGAGTGGTAGATGATGAAAAGAATATTTTTGAACCGGTGAGGATATCACATAAATTGGTAATAGATTTGATATCTGAGATAAGAGATCACCTAGCTGCCTTTTAGGAGTTCAAGGCACTAGATCCAGATGAAGCATACCCTGAGACCAAAGAAACTAGGTAGGAGATATGACTGCTGAAATCAATCACTCTCAATGACTTTGGGGAGGGGCAGGGGAGGAATGGCTAAAGAAAATAGTGCCACTGTAAAAGGGCAAATGTTAATATTTTCAAAAAGAAATAAAAGCCTGATATTGCTTCTTGCAAAATTTAAGAGCTCATTAAGAGAATGGTTAGTGAATGTCTACAAAAGAAAGTGGTGTTCCCAAACAGTGAACACTTCAAGCAAAAAGTCCCTACAGACTAACTTCCTTGACTTTTTCTGAGAATTCACTAAACTCGTAGATTAAGGAATTGTTACAGATATCAAGATTTTAGTGAAGAATTTGACAATGTGTTTAATGCTATTCCTATGGAAAAGGTGAAGAGTTTTGGGTTAGCAACAGTGTAGTTAGATGGATTAAGAACTAATTGAATGTTTAAAGAAAACCTACCACAAACTATATTAGTTTATCTTAGTAAGTACTTACTTTATGCCAGGCATTGTATTAAGTACTGGGAATATAAATGCAAACAGAAAGGCCCTCTCTAACTTCAAGGGGCTTATATTCTGCTAGGGGAAGACAAGACAATAAAAGGAAGCTTTTTATGAAGGATGGTGAAGAAAATCTGGAGGGACAGGAGTGAAGCCTGGAGAAGAAAAGCTATGTAAAGTAGGATTTAGTTTCATATATGATTCTTTTTTTCTGTTCCATGAACAGAAAATATATATAAAGAGACATTCATATTGACTGATATTTCTCCTGTTTAGAAAAAAAAGTTTTCAAAAACTGAATTCACAATTTTTCTGGAATATAACATACACAGGTTCTGATAATTCATTTTATTTGTTCTGTGTTTGTTGTGATTTCACTTTGTTCATTTTTTAAATTTTATTTTTTTGTGAATTTAAACACCAAAAAAAGATCTCCATACAAACAAAATAAGGGATTCTACATGAAACAGTGAATCTCTACCTCACACCATTTGTTCTTTTCAATAAGAATATAAAAATCCCATGTTACTTTCAAAATTCCTGCTTGTATGTTCTTTCTGAACTTCTTTCAGTTCTCTTCTGTGCAATAAAAAGTTGTAATGGCCCCCTTTTTTTTTTTGCATCACTATTGCTAATATATCCTACTTTGCAATGGCAACTACTCCTCCATTCCCATTAACCAAGAAAGGAATAAATACCCTTTGAAACAAATAAGCATAGTCAAACACAATAAATTCACACAGCAGTGATGTACATAAATGCCTATTTCCGTAATTTGTCTATAAGCTGTCAGGAGGTGAGTAATATGGTTCCATCCTAGGTCCTCCAACAACATGGCTGGAAGAGATTATTTTATTAGAGGTCTTAAGTCTTCTTTATGAAGTTGTCTATAAATTCTTCTTCTGATCCTGCTCCATTTCACTGTGTCAGTTCATATTACCTAGGATTCTCTGAAAGTTTCTTTTGGCATTGCACATTATTCCATTATATCCATATACTACAATTTGTTCAGACATTCCCTAGTTACCTGAGAGGCAATCTAAGGTTTCCCCTTAGATTCTAGTTCCTTGGTCCATTTCATCTAAAAGTGAAATTCATCTGATGCCTATAACTTCACCCTTTGACCCACATTCAAATATCCTCAGGTACCCTATTTATAAGAAATATTAAGTTCTACCTCCTTCTTCCTCCTGTATATATAAGGGTATTTTTCCTGTTACTCTTCTTCCTATTGCCTCTCTTAAAACCCTCAGGATAGAACCAATCTTCCACCACCAGTACCCATTTTTGTTGTTATTTAACCAACTCAATTTCCTCTGAAACATTAAAGTTCTGAAGAGACACTTGTTTTTTCACCATTACAATGTTAGCACTATGTCATCATATAGCTCTAATTTTTCAAATAAATTTACCTTTTAGGGTTTCTCTGAACTCTTGTGTTTGTAATTTCAGAGATCTTACTCAGCTCCCTTTTTTAGCAGAAACACTGCAAAGTCCTCTATTCCATCAAAGATCCATTCTCCTCCCAGATGGTCAACACTGAAATCAGACTGATTATATACTTTACAGCCAAAGGTAGAGAAGCTCTATACAGTCAGTTAAAACAAGACCTGGAGCTGACTATGGCTCAGATCAAGAGCTTCTTATTGCAAAATTCAGACTTATATTGAAGAAAATAGAGAAAATCATCAGACTGTATAGGTATGACTTAAATAAGATCCCTTATGAATATGAAGTAGAAATAATGAATAGATTTAAGAGATCAGATTTGGTAGACAGAGTGTCTGAAGAACTATAGACAAAGATTTGCAATAATGACAGGAGGCAGCAGCAGCAACAACAAAATATTCCAAAGAAAAAGAAGAGCAAGAAAGCAAAATGGCGGCCTGAAGAGTCTCTACAAATAGCTGAGGAAAGAAAGCAAAAAGTAGAGGAGAAAGGAAAGATATACCCAACTAAATGCAGAATTCCAGAGAGTAGCAAGGAGGGATAAGGTTTTCTTAAATGAACAATGCAACGAAACGAAGAAAACAATGAGATAGGAAAGATAAAAGATCTCTTCAAGAAAACTAGAGATATCAATAGAACATTTCATGTAAAAATGGGCGTGATAAAAGACAAAAATGGTAAGGACTTAACAGAAGTAGAAGAGATTAAGAAAAGGTATCAAGAATGTACAGAAGAATTATACAAGAAAGATCTTAACATCACCAATAACCATGATGGTGTAGTTACTGATCTAGAGTCATACATCCTGGAGGTCAGCTGGGCCTTAGGAAGCATTGCTAACATAAGGCTAGTGGAGGTGATAGAATTCCATCTGAACTCTTCAAAATCCTAAAAGATGATGCTGTTAAAGTGCTGCATTCAATATGCCAGCAAATTTGGAAAACTCAACAGTGGCCACTGGATTGGAAAAGATCAGTTTCCATCTCAATCATAAAGTAGGGCAATGCCAAAGAATGTTCATCTCACACACCAACAATGTTATGCTTAAGATTCTGCAACCTAGACTTCAGCAATCTGGGAACCAAGAATTACCAGGAGTGCAGGCTGGCTTTTGAAGGGGCAGAGGAGCTATAGACCAAATTGCCAAAAGCAAGGGAGTTTCAGAAAAACATCTACTTCTGCTTCACTGACTACATTAAAGCCTTTAACTGCATGGATCATAACAAAATGTGGCCAGTCATCAAAGAGATGGGAGTACCGGATCATCTTACTTGTCTCCTGAGGAACCTGTATGAAGGCCAAGAAGCAACAGTTAGAACCAAACATGGAACAACTGATTGGTTTAAGATTGGGAAAGGGGTGCAACAAAGCTGTATATTGTCACCTTATTTAACTTATATGCAGAGTACATCATATGAAATGCCAGGCTGGATGAATTAAAAGTTGGACTTAAGGTTGCCAGGAGAAATATCAACAATCTCAGATACACAGACGTTACCACTCTGATGGCAGAAAGTGAAGAATTAAAAAACTTCTTGATGACAGTAAAAGAGACAAGTGTAAAAACTGGCTAGAAGCCTAACATTTCAAAAAAAATAAGAGTAAGATCACAGTAACTGGACCCATCGCTTCCTGGCAAATAGTGGGAGAAGAGATGGAAGCATTGTCAGCTTTTTATATTCTTGGGCTCTCAGATTACTGCAGAGAGCAACTACAGCCATGAAATGAAAAGATTCTTGCTCCCTGGAAGGAAAGCTATGGCAAATCTGGATAGCATACTAAAAGCAGAGACATCACCTTGCCCACAAACATCCATATAGTGAAAGCTATGGTTTTTCTAGTAGTAATGTGTGGCTGTGAGAATTCGATTGAAAGGAAAACTGAGTGCCACAAAATTAAAGCTTTCAAATTGTGGTGCTGGAGAAGACTTTTGAGAGTTCCTTGGACAGCAAGATCTAATCAGTCAACACTTAAATTAATTCAGATATTCTTTGGATGGACAAATACTGAAGCCAAAGCTTAAATGCTTTGACCATGTAATGAGTACTCATTGGAAAAGACCCTGATTTTTGGGTCTTTTGGGTGGAAGATTGAAAACAAGAGAAGGGGACAGCAGAGGATGAGATGGATAGATCAGTGAGGCAGATAGGAAGCAACAAACATGACCTTGGATAGACTTTGGGAGACAGAAGGACCTGATGTGTCCATGAAGTCACAAAGAGTCAGACATGTCTGAACAATACTCAGCTTTTTTTTTTTTTTTTTTTTGGTCAGACACTCAAAGTTCTCTATTCTATCAAAGATCCATTTTCCTCCCAGTAGGACTATGTCTGGCTTTGCAGTACAAGGTATTCTTAGCTATAAATCTATTATCTGTTGCCTTTTAGGATTTTATCTTCATTTTGTCTTCTGATTCTAAGAGATTCTTTGAGATATAGAGTACATTAAAAAAAAAAAATCATGGTTTTCAAGGAGTCCAATGATTTCTAAATGATCTCTTCCTGATCAGTTTCCTAGGTCCACTTTTTAATATCAGGTATCTTAAATATTGTTCCCTTTTTCAGTCTTCTGATTTTGTTCTATTTTTTTTCCCTGTCTCATGAAGTCACCCATTTGTTTATTCTAGTTTTCAGGGATTCCATTTCTTGGGTAATATTTGCTACTTTTCCCCCCCTAACCTACTTCTTCTCCTGCCTATTCTTGCCTTGAGTATTTTTTAAAAATCTCTTGCTTAAAATAATCCTGTAGCCCTTGTTTGGGGGGGGGAAAAAGGCTTTTTTTTGGTCCTTCTTATAGTAGTTAAGAAACTTCTTTTGGGGGATCTCCTGATTGCAAAAATTCTTGATTCTAGTAGGTGTCTGGTAGGTCTTTAATTTAATTCTCTCTCCAGCTTTAGGTCTTAAATTATGACTGTATTAGGGTCATTCTCAATTTTCTGCTGTACTGTTGAGTGTTATGGTCAACCCTGTTTTGTGTCACCCCAAGTGTCCTGGGTTCTTGTAGTGATCTGAATTTCCTGGAGTTAGACCCACAAGGATCTTTAAAGTTCAGAATAGATCTTCATGTCTCTCTTTGGAATTTCAGGACATTGTTATGGAACTCAGAGCCCTTGGCATGGAATGTTCTGGTTTGAGCACTAGGATGCTACCCTGGTTGGAGCTATGCTGGTCAGTCTCTGCTGGCTGTGAAGACTTGCAAAGTCCCTAGCCTGTGGCTTTCTGACCACCCTGACACTTTCTCAGAGGAGCCATCCACTCTTTCTTGGGAGCCTTGTAGGCTACATCTAACTCTAATCATGCTAGCAGGAGCTAGTTTTTTGGGAGGTGTAGGGGTAAATGGTCATTTCCTATTGCCCGTTGGACTGCTCGCTAACTTTTTGTGTAGTTTTGGGGTGGAAGATTTCCAGTTTCTCATTGGATTTTCTAATCATTTGGTCTTGATGCCAATTTCAGAGTTTTGCTAATTTTGCTGGAGTAGAGTTATGTGGGAGATGGGTGGTAGCCTCTTATTGAGGCTGCCTTCTTGACCAGAAGTTACTTATCTTGATAATTTTCTAAAAAATTATTTTCCTTTTTAATCAGGCTGGTTAATGGCTTGTTAATTTTCAAAGAATTAATTTTATTGTTTCACTTATCATTTCAATGATTTGTTTTGACCCACTCATTGTTTTGAATTTCATTATTTCCATTTGAATCTCTATTACTTTGTGCCCCAAGTATTATGTTTATATTGTTATGGTGTATGAAGGATATTTAGTATTTGATTTTTTACATTTATTTGACATTTGGCATGTGTTTAATATTTATATTGGTTCTTAATCTATGGTTCTTTTAAACATAATTTCCTTGTTTCTATTGATGAAGTTTTATTTTTGTTTTGTCTAATAATATGATTGCAATTGCTGCATTTTTAAAAGATTCACATGATGCACGGTAAATTTTGTTCCAGAAGTACTTCATATACCTTTCCACATTAAGATATTTATATAGTCACTTTTTGTGGCTATGGAGAACTAGAAACAAAGTGGATACCCACTGACTGGAGAATGACTAAAGAAATTGTTATACATGAAGAATAATGTGCTAGAGAGAATGATGAATGACTACAGAGGAGCATGAAAAGTCATGAACTTACACAGTGAAATAGGCAGACCCAGGAAAATGACATACACAATGTTTCTAACAATTTAAGTGCAAAGAATAACAAAATAACCAAAATTGAAAGCTACGAAATTTTAATGACAAAACTTGATCATAAAGATGAGATGAGAAGACACCTACCAGTGCTTCTTTGCAGAGTGTGCAGTAAGCTAAGTATGTGTGGAATGTCAAATGTAATATCAGACTTTTTTCAATGCTTTGTTTTGGTTTTGTTCTGTTCTAAGAGATAATTCTCTGGGATGGAGTGGAGTCAAGACAAAGTGGGAAATGCAGGTAATACTTAAAAATCCATCCATATATATATATATATATATATATATTAATTAAAGGGCATTCCTGGTTTTTGTCTCTCTTTTCACACCTTTTTTTTTTCCATCAAATAAAACTGACTCTATTAGAAGTAATCACTAGGCTTCTTCCTACTAACCAAAAGGAACATGATTTATGACTCTAAAAGTTTTCAGAGCTTTTTAAATTAAATATATTTAAAGTTGGAGTGGGAGCCCTGTGTAATGGACAAAGACTTGACTTAAAAAGGCAGTAAGGACTGGGTTCAAGTCCCACCTTTGATGTATTAGCTGTGATTCTAGTTAAGTATGACATCTCTGTCCTTCCCCCCCCCCCCCCCAAATCTCTATAAGACTCTTAAGTTGCAGAGCAGGTACTGAGATGCACTGGCTGAAGGAGTTTCCTAAACAAATGAAATCACAGTAACTGTCTAATAACAATAAAAAATTGTTATTAACACCTTATAAGTGGCATAAAAAGGTGGTACTGGATGTGGTCATTCCAAGGCAATGTATAATCCAATTAAACAGATGTTCTCCAGGAGAGCTTTCTCCCTCATATGAATCCTCTTATGCTCAGAAAGGTCCTGATGTGAGCTAAAGACTGTTTATATTCAGTAGCATAAGTGAAGTTTCAATCCAATCTGGCCAAAAGGATTAGTAAGGTGCCCACTCGAGCCAAAATATTTCTCACACTTAACACACTCAAAAGATGTTTCTCCGATAGGAATTTTTTTATGTTTGGTAAGGTCTTAATGTCAGCTAAAGACTCTAGCACCTTCATTCCATTCAAAGGAGTTTCTCTCCAGTATGAATTCTCTTATGTGCAGTAAATTGCTGTCTCCACCTGAAGGATTTCCCACATTCATGACATTCAAAAGGTCTCTCTCCAGTATGAATTCTCATATGTGCAGTAAGCTCTTGCTTCCAGCTAAAGGATTTTCCACATTCGTTACATTCGAAGGGTTTCAATCCAGTATGAATTCTCTTATGTCTAGTGAGGTCTCCACACTGAATAAAGCACTTCCCACACTCACCACATTCAAAGGGTTTTTCTCCAGTATGAATCCTCTTATGTGTGGTAAGCTGCCAACTCCGGATAAAGCATTTCCCACACTCACTACATTTAAAGGGTTTCTCTCCAGTATGGATTCGCTTATGTCTAGTTAGGTGTCCACCACGGTTAAAGGATTTCCCACATTCTCTACATTTAAATGGTTTCTCTCCAGTGTGAATCCTTTTGTGTTCAGTAAGCTGTCCACTCCATGTAAATGATTTCCCACAGTCATTACATTCAAAGGGTTTCTCTCCAGTATGAATTCTCTGATGTGCAATTAGCTCTCCATTCCATCGAAAGGATTTTCCACAGTCATTACATTCAAAGGGCTTCTCTCCAGTATGAACTCTCTTATGGTCAGCAGGAGATCCACTCCTGTCAAAGGACTTCCCACATTCATTACATTCACGTGGTTTTTCTCCAGTATATATTCTGTGATGTTCAGTAAGTTCTGAACAGCAACTGAATGACTTACTGTATTTAGATTTGCTGCTAAGCTTCTCAGAAAAGAGTTCATTATGCTGCCTTTCATCTGACTGCTGTTTGAGGTTCGTTTCACGTGTATCACATTTGCTTAAATATTTTCCGGTTCGAATTCTCTTTTGTGTAATCAGAAGCATCCCCACACCAAAACCTTTTCCAAATATATCACATTGACTGGCTTTTAAAGTAGGAGAGTTCCTCTCTATGACTGTTATCTGCTTTGAGACGTTTTGGCTATCTTGTTGCTCTAATCCACCATCGGATTCTGAATTTTCTCGTAACTTACAATTCTTGGAATAATCCTTTTTGAGTCTTTCCTTGGATGACTCTCCCAAAGAAATATCCCATACTGGAATTTCAGTTGCTTCATACCTAGGGTCCCAACAAGGGCAGTCTGAAATTAAGGGGAAAAAATGTCAACATACACTCTACTATACTAAGAGAAAAGAAATTGCTTTATAATAAGTTCTAGTTTTTATCTTCTCTATCAAAGAAAATGATCAATAGTCTAAAGATGGCAAAACCAACATTATTAATAGTAAATTATCATTATCATCATCAATAATAATAATAGATAGCATTTATATAGTGCTTTAAGGTTTGCAGAGCACTTTACCAATATTATTTTACTTTATCCTTGCAACTTGGCAGCTAGGTTCTATCATTACCTCCATTTAATGAGGAAACTGATATAGACAAAGGCTAAGCAATTCACTCAAGGTCATTAGTAGGATCTAAACTTAGGTCTTCCTGACACCAGGCCCAGCGTTCTATGTTTTATGCCACCTAGCTGCCATTTAACTGACACTAAAAATATGTGAGGACATAGAACATAGCACCTTGCTGCTTTAAATGGTTCAAATACAGAAGACTAAATGAATTACATTTCAGGCTACTTTTAAAAATATACATACATACACATATATATAATAGAGATCATTAGAGAATGATTTTTAACAAACTTTAGATAAATATACTTTCAGGAAGATAAATATTTTCTCAAGAAGCTACAGACTGATAAACATGATGCCAATTTCTATAAAAATTCTAGTTACCTATAAGCAAACAGATGCTTTATGAACTCTTTAAAAATTATTGATTAAGACTTAATATGGAACATTAGGAAACCTGGAACAGGAAAAAAATCTTGTATCTTTAGTTGGATAATTTCTTGGCTAGTTATCAAAAAGCATGTTAAAGGTATCACGAATCTAAATTTCATCAACTTATCTGAAAAAAGATTCTAAAGATTAAATTGCTCACAGTATGGAGAAATGTATTTTATGTGATGATACATACAGGTAGGTAGCTAAACACATAGCATCCAAAATTCTGTATTATTCAATGTTTTTATTAAAAACATCAACGGTTTTCATGTAAGAAAATATGGAAGGCCCCATTATTAATATTACAGATGACACAGGGCTTATCTAATCTTAATCAAGATTAAAGTCTTGACAGATTGGAAAAAATAGGCTAAAATAAAAATGTTTACATTTAACTAGGAAAATTAAGATTCTGCATTTAGATTCAAAAGAGCAAGTGCACAAGAATAGGACTAGTATGGAGTTCGGGATGACTGGCAGTCATGTTCAGATTCACCAATAATAAGAACATTTAAAATAAGAACAAATCTGAGTTATCTTATTCTATGAAATTGGCAAAGACGATAAAAGAAAAAAATAGTCAATCTTGGAGAAACGGTGGGAGGACAGGCCCCACCAAAATGCTGTTGCTGGATCTGTTTACTGGTTCATCTGTTTTGAAAATCAATTCAGAATTACGGGAGAAAAGGTACTACACTAAACCTCCCACATCAAGGTGGTGTAGTTGATCGAGCATTGGACTTGGAGTCAGAAAGCATGTTTCAGACTCCTGAGCAACTAACTTAATCTCTTTCAGCCTTATCTGTAAAATGGGGATAACAGTACCTACCTTAAAGGGTTACAATGACCCATCAAATGAGATTATTTATGTATGTATACACACACACTGCTCTCAAATCTTAAAAGTGTTACATAAATATCAGCTATTATGAAGGTCAATGACAGAAAGGTCCCATGAATGCCTAAACATTCATGACTTTTTACATAATAAAACTCTATAAACAAAGTACAGTTTCAAAAGGTTCTGCCAATCAAATGAATGGAACAAAACATAAGAACACAATAGAATATAATTGTCCTACAACCGATGAGAAATATAAAGAATTCAGAAAAACATGGGAAAGACTTACACAGTGGTGCAAAGAAAGAAAAACCAGAGGAAAAAAAGACATGACAACAACTCTATAAACAAATACATCAAAAGACAAAAACGGTAACACTAAAAGATTTGGATAAATGTAACGACTAAGGTCATGGCAATGGTTACAGAATGTAATGACCAGTGGGTTTCCAGGTGTCTGATGGTGGGAAACACTTCCTTCCTCTCTACTAATATTTAGTTGCCAAAACATGTGCAATATCACATACTCTGTGGATGACAAACACTGAACTGTTTCGACCTTTTTTTTCTTGAAATGAAGGGTACTATGGGGTCAGGGGTTAGGAAGTGACTATTGTTTAAAAAATAAAGTGTATCAATGAAGCATTAAAAAAAAGTCCTATTCACCTCTGCTGGCTGAAATATTAATGAGATTAAAGTTTCAGTTAGTAAAATTGAGTAGTAAGAAGAATATATTTGTCTTGATTCTTTAAATCTAATCAAGAGACTATAAGATGAAAAAGAAAATGAAGGGTTAAAATATGCACATTTCTATCCATCACGTTAAATGCCACGGAGAATAGCTACATACAGGAAGAAAAGCAATACAGACAACTAGAATTTCACAAAAGAAAAAATGCAAGGAACCAGTAATAAAACCCATGGCCCAGAGGTGATTTCGCACACTCACACTCCACCCTATCCCCATAATGAAATGGCAACTTAGATTACATAATTAAATACCTTGCTTATGAACAAAATCAAACAGATGGAACAGGAGAAGTAAGCAACTTGGGGGGGGAGTTTTTTAAGATAAAGACTGCTAATAAAAGTCTGACGTCTGATATATGTGGGAAATTGATTTTTAAAAAATCTGAACCAAAGACACACACCAAAAATGGGGAAAAAATGAGGGAAAAAAAGAACTATTAACACATGCATTAGAATGCTCCAATTTACTAAATATAAGAAAAAAATAAAAATAAATATGACATTTAATCACACATACCTTTGGAGGGCACAGTTAACTCGAACATACTAAGATACTGTTGGTGGACCTGTGAATTGGTTCCTCCATTTTGGTAACCAATTTTCATCCATGTGACTGACAATACTAAATTCTTCAAACACTTCAACCCCAATATTTGGTCAATGATTTGCAAAAGACAAAGAAATTCAATCAATCAAAAAACATTTATTAAGTGCCTACTATGTACCAGGCACTGTGCTAAGTGCTGGGGATACAAAAAGAGATAAAAGACAATCCCTGTCCTCAAGGAGCTTACAATCTAATGGAGGAAAATGACATACAAAAAGAAGAGCACACAAAGATGAAAAATGAGGAACTGAGAAAGAGAAAAAGCGAATTCAAAGAGAAGACAGCTGGTCTGGTAAGGAATAGTATTTATTACCTGTGTGACCTTTGGGAAGTCACTTTTAATCTCCCAAAGGCTTAGTTTCCTCATCTGTAAAACGGGGGGAGAGAGGGATGTTGGACTAGATGACTTCTCAAGTGCCTTCAAGCTCTAAATCTAAAGTGTCAGAATGACTATGTGGATGGGGCACCACAGAGAAGTCAGGAAAACCTGGATTCAAATCCCACCTCAGACACTTACTGGCTGGGTAGTTATCTCATCTTTTTGTACCTCACTTTCCTCATCTATAAAATATTGGGCCTCTCAGTGTCCTTCAAGGTCCTATATCTTACAAGCCAAAGTAAAACAAAGTGGTTAGACAAGATGAAGAGAAGGGAAGTTAGATGTGGTTATCAGACTGTCATAAAGAGATGCTAAGTAGCTGTCAAAGTACTCATGTGTTGATATCACACAATTTACAGTTTAAAAGATGAAGACTGAGGATATCACTTCCCATTAGTTAGGAGAACATGGAGAATTTTGCAGTCACTTACACTGAGTGTGGGATGTTTGCTTTCTGCCAAAGCCAAGTGATTACTGCCTCTGCTCAAAGTGATGGTTGGTCTCCCTCCTAGAAGAGAAGGGAGGGGGAAGGAGAATCAAGAATCTTTTTATATTCTAATTTATCAAGAAGTGTTCTGTTAAAAAAAAAAAAGGGAAAAGGATGAAGAGAAGTGGAGCCAAACAGTGGAGCAGCAGAGAACAGTGCAGGGAGCTCCCACCACTCCCACCTAAATTTCCCCAAACAGATCCAGAAAATGCACTAGACAGAATCTTGATGAGGAAACCCACAAACTCACAGTGCATCATTGGTCCTGCCCAGGCTGGCATCAAGAGATAAGAGAAGACTGGGGACAAGTCTAGTAAGGAGGCTCCTGCATTCATGGAGAGGCTGTGCCAGGGCAAGGGAAGATTCTATATATATCACCTTTGGAGGGCAGGAATGGGTGCCAAATGGCAGCTTTGTAGGTCACAGATCTCGGGTGGCCTGAGAAAGGGACCTTTGCCCAGGATGGCATAAGCAGGCAGGGAAGCCCTCAGCAATGCACACAGGAGTTGAGAAGCAGCAGCGGTGTGTCTCAGACCTCAAAAGCAGAATCGGGTCTGAGTTCCCCATAAAGACTAGTCTGAAGACTGCAGAGGAATAACCAGGGTAGAAATCCCAGAAAGAAGAGGAGCCTACAATTCTATCACTACAAACTGCCAGAATTTTCCAGGTGGCTGACAGTGGATGGGTCCAGCAGCATCTGCTCTCACTCAGCTCCAAACCCTTGTCAGGAAATTGCAGAGCTCAGACCAGGGGTCAGCAAGGAGACTATGCCCTGAATATGCCTCAGACCATTCTAAGAGCACTGAAAGCTTGCAGGTTTTTAGCAGGTCCCTAAGATCCTGTAGTAACATGACACTCAATACTTCAAGAAAGCAGCAAGAGGACCAGTCCAGACCTTCCTTCCAGAAGTGTGAAGAGTCAGGGCAGCTAGGTGGTGCAGTGGATAGAGCACCGGCCCTGGAGGCAGAAGGACCTGAGTTCAAATCTAGCCTCAGACACATAACACTTACTAGCTGTGTGACCCTAGGCAAGTCACTTAACCCCACTGCCTAGCCAAAAAAAACAAAAACAAAAACAAAAAACAGAAGTGTGAAGCGTCCAGCCCTAACTTAAATTCCAAAGTCAGGAAGCAGGCTGGAAGGATGAGCAAACAAAAGAGTTGTTATGATGGCAGGGATGCTCAAGACACAAAATCAGGAGAAGAAAATGACTCCAAAACATCCACAGGCAAAATCTCAGGGAAAAACACTGCTTGGACACAAATTCAACTAGAAGAGATGAAGCAAGAGTTTAAAAAAAAAAAGAGTTAAGAATGTTTTTATAAATGAAATTAGAGGACTTGAGAATAAATTGATAAAGAAATAAGAGTTATAGAAGAAAGAATTACAAGGGAACTAATAAGCTTGGCACAGGAAGAATAAAACCTTGCCCAAGCAACAAACTCCATGAAAATTAGAATGGACCAAATAGAAGCCAACGGCCTTGTGAGACAACAATAAATATTAAAGCAAAGTCAAAAAGGCTGGAAAAAATATGAGAAAATATAAGATATCTCACAGTAAAAACGAATAACCTGGAAAAAAGACTGACGGAAAAAAAATTTAAGATTCTCTGGACTATGTGAACACCACAACACCCAAAAAAAGGCCTAGACATCACATTTCCAGACATCTTAAAAGAAAACTCTTAGGTCTCTCAGAACCAGGGAGCAAAGTGGAAACAGAATCCACCAGTTACTACCTTTAAGAAAATGTGAAAAGTAAAAACTCCCAGGAATATCGTAACCAAAATCCAGAGCTTCCAGGACAAATTAAAAATACTGTAAGCAGACAGAAAGAATTCAAGTACCAAGAGCCACAGTCAGAATCACACATGACTTAGCAGCCACCATCATAAAGCAGCAGAAAAGTTGAAATATGCTATTGTAGAAGGCAAAAGATATATAGGCTTATAGCCAAAAATAACTTGTCAAGCCAAAGTGAGTATAATCCTATAGGGGAAAAAATGTACCATTAATGACACAGAGGACTTTCAAGCAGACCTGATGAAAAGACAGAGCTGCGCAGAAACTCTGAAGTTCAAACACAGGAGTTAAGAGAAACACAAAAATGATCATGAATGATCAGGGATAACTGCTCACATGCTAACATGAGGAAGTGAGGCATGTGTCCCCTCTGACCCCTACCATCCTCTGGGGTCACTGAAGGAGTCTAATTAAGCAAGGCCTGAGAGCGGTCCTGTTATGTCTTGATCTTAAGAGAGGAATGGAAAAAGAAGGGAAGAGAAATACAATGGCGGCAAAAGGAAAGCAAGGTTAGGGAAAATTATCTCACCTAATCAGTATGTGGAAACAGATATCTTGACGAACGAGGATGAAGGGATGGGGGAAATGGCTGACACTTCAAACTCACCTTCATCTAACCTGGTCAATAGAGGAAAGGATATATATATATACACACACACAACTCTGTACCCAACTGAACAGAAATACATTCCACTCAACAGTGAGATGGGAGAGAAATGAGGAAAGAGAGAAAGGGGAATTAGAAAGATTATTCCTAAGCAAAACAAACTTTAAATAAGGATGTACAAAAAATATTTACAGCTCTTTTTTGAGGTGGCAAAGAACTGGAATCTAAGGGGGTGCCTATAAATTTGGGAACAGATGAACAAGTTGTGGTATGTAGATATGATGGAATACTACTGTGCTCTAAGAAATGATGAAAGGGATGGTTTTACAGAAAATTGGGAAGACTTGTATAAACTGATGCAGCAAAGTGAACAGAATCAGGAGAATGATTACATAATGATAATAATATGATAAAGATAAGCAGCTTTGAAAGACCTGGTGACTCTGATCAGCATAATGAACATCCACAATTCCAAAGGACGCCTGATGAATCGTGCTTCCCACCTCTTGATAGAGAGGGGAAAGACTCAAGAGCACACAATCAGACCTATATTGTTTTGAACACAGCCAACAGAGAAATCTGTTTTCCTTGACTATACATGTTCGAAATGGGGTTTTGTTTTCACTTTTTTCTCAATTTCAAGGAGAAAACTGAGGGTTCAAATCCCTTCATGGTTTACAGAGGGTCTCTATGGGGCATCTGGGTCAGGAAAATTCATCTTCCTGAGTTCAACTCTATTCTCAGACACTTATGAGCTGTGTGACCCTGGGCAAGTCACTTAACCCTATTTGCCTCAATTTCCTCATCTGTAAAATGAGCTGGAGAAGGAAATGGCAAACCACTCCAGTATCTCTGCTAAGAAAACCCCAAATGGGGTCATGAAGAGTTGGACATGACTGAAAAATGACTCAAAGACAACAAAATTGGAGTGGGAGAGTGAGAGGATAGATTTTTTTGCTGATTGGGGGAACTCACAAATATAATTTTTTTTAAATAATGAAAGGGTCAGTATCAGAGGTACCAGAATAACATGAGCTGAACCAAGGAGAACAATTTATATAATGACAACAAGATTATAAAGAAAAACAACTTGGAAAGACGTTTAAAACTCAGATCAATGCAATGAAAAACTATGAATCCAGAGGACTCCAGATGAAACATTCTACCCATCTCCTACCAGAGAAGTGATCGACTTTAAAATGAAGAATAAGATATATGTTTTTGGACATGTTCAATATTGGAATTTATTTTGTACGACTATGCAGATTTGTTGTGAGGGTCTGATATTTCTTTTGGTTTTGTTTTTTGTCTAAATTTTGGAGTAGGTGTAGGAGATACAATGAGCGCTTGTAAAAAAAAAAGGAAGGAAATAAAGACAAAGTATTTTAAAAAGCGGAGGGAATTCTGACCTCTGTTAGAAGGTTTCAAGTGAACATCTCTGATTTTTTATAGAGTGACCCCCATGTCTGATTGATTTTCCCTCACCTACCTGAAGAGGTGCCTCCTGGGATTTGTCTCTGCAAAGTCCATGGTGCTTCTCCTCTCTCCAACAGGAAGATGAGATTTGGTTTGGCAACTGTAAGCCCTGCTCAAGGGAAACAATGGAGAAGAAAGATCTTTGATGAAAGCCGTTTTAGAATCCAATCTCCCCTCCTTCCTCTTCTGGCAAAAAGAAGTGTGTGGAGGGGAAGGACAGAGGGCAGTACAAAGGGATTTCGTGAATTACCCAGGATTAATTAAGCATTCACTTTATGTCAGGGACAGTACTAGGTGCTGACCTTTCCCCTGGTAAAACAAAGAATGGGGAAGGGGCAGCCTCAGATACAGGACACTGGAGCTCCGTAGGGAAGTTTACCTAAGAGACATCGCACCTGGGGAAAACAGCAGAAACTACCTCTCACTTGATCCCAGAAGGCTCAAGAATCTTTCCATAATGCACGTATTCTAAAATATTCCTGCCACCAAGAAACAAATTCAACTAAGTTCTATAGACAGCCCTTTCCTCTAGCAAATGAAAGTACAGATACACCCCAACGAGCAGGTTTTCAGGCACAGAGAAAAGCTGCCTTTACCCAGGGAGACCAGGTTCCTGTAGTTCTCCAGCATCACATCCCTGAACAAGCTCCTCTGAGCACGGTCCAGTTGTCTCCATTCCTCCCCGGTGAACTCCACAGCCACATCCTTGAAGGTCACTGACTCCTGAAACATTGAACATGTTCCTACTCACTCAGGGAACCCTACTGCATGCACTTTTCATCCCAGAGATTGATTGAACTTTAGTATTAAAGACCTCCTCACCTTTCTGATTGGAGGACGGTACAAAAACCTGCTCCCAAAGCCTTCCTTTACGGATAGCTCAGAATGTCCAGCCAGCTTGTCATTTCCCACCAGCTGCTCTGCTTGGTTATGACTCCATGGAAAACATGCCCTATCCTGGGTACCTTCTGGCATCAATCCTCCCTCCTCTTCCAGTTTCCTTCTGTGTACTGTCTTCCCCCATTAGAATATAAGCTCCTCAATGACAGGGATTCTCTTTCTTCTTCTTATTTGTCTCCCGAGCACTTGGCACAGGGCCTGGCATGTTTGTTGTTGTTGTTTAGTTATTTTTCAGTCCTCTTCTACTCTTCATGACCCCATTTGGGGTTTTCCTTGGCAAAGACACTGGAATGGTTTAAAATTTCCTCCTCCAGCTCCTTTTACAGATGAGGAAACAGGCAAACGGGGTGAAGTAACTTGCCCAGGATCACACAGCTTGTAAGTGTCTGAGGCCGGATTTAAGCTCAGGTCTTCCTGACTCCAGACCCAGTGCTTTATCCACTGCACCACCTAGCTGCCCCGTCTGCACACAGTAGGCACTTAATAAGTGTTTAATGACTACTTTGGGGAAGTCCTGAAGTTAGCCAGATCTACATATCGGGAGTAGCTTTCATAATACTCAAGGCCCAGAGCACTCCAAGTCAAATGTTTATTGAGTACCAGGACGCATCTCACTGGGGATCAGAATCTGTGACAGGCTGAAAGATCTGCACTGCTGCTGAGTGTCAGGCAGCTAAGTGGCCCAGTGGATAGAGCACTAGACCTGGACTTAGAAAGACCTTAGTTCAAATCTGGACTAAGATACCTCCTAGCTATGTAACCCTGGGCAAGTTGTCCTCAAATAAAGAGACGTGTAAAGGGAAATGGGTTTCATCTCAGGCCTGATACAAAGACAAACCCTATTTAAAGTCCATATGTCAGTGGTGTATTTGGGCCTCTTGTATTGTAAAGCCAAGGGAATAATTAGAATGCATTTGGTTAAAAGGAGATTGAGCGAAATAGCCTCTCATGAGTTTCTTCCTTGGAAGGAACGTCCAGGGACACCACATGATAGACAGGTAGCCACTTGGAGATTATTTCTGCAGAGAAATTCAGGCTAACATATGTAAATGACTCCTTCCCCAAATTCCAAAAATGAAAGGGCCTTACAGAAGAAGGCCAGCTCCTTACCCTTCTGTCATAAACAACTCACTTCCTCTCTCCCCTTTTCTTCAGCTGCACTCTCTGGTCAATATCACTGCATTTCTGTGTCTTTATGTTGTTAAGTATTCCTGGAATTTCCACCCAAACCCTTGTCAAAGTTACAAATTTATATAGCAAATGGTGACCTAAAATGTTCTTCTGGTGACCCAAATATCTTGACCTTTTTTTCTTTTTTTTTGACCCAGATATCTTAATGGTTGGTCTCTGTAGTAGGCGGGAACACTTGAAGCACTGGCCCCAGAACATATGACACTGCCTGGCTTCTTGCCTATGATCACGCTACTGAAAGCTCTTGGACGTTACCTTTACTGATGAGGTCATGGTTATCCTGTCCCATCTGGAGCAACCACCCTCCAACATATACCTGTGTTTGTGGGGACAGAATCATCAGAACCTACAATTAAGTCACTTGAGGAAAGTGGAGTTCATGTTTGGCCAGAATTACTCAGAACGGAAGCTGCAAATGGTCTAACTTTTGCTATTATCTATCCATCCCTAAGAGCTGCTCACACTTTCCCAAATGATGATAGCATCTGGCCCACATTCTACCTTTCCATGCTGCCTGTCATCTTTGCTGAGTGCAACATTCACAACTCAAAACTTCTAAGTCAAAGGGGTCAACAATATCCCTTCCTTTCACTTCCCCTCCACATTCAGCCTTCAGAAACAAAGGCACAGCCTAGATCCTCATCATGAATACCGCTGCTTCTTCTCTATACCTCTCAGCCTGGATTTCCCCTTTCCTCACTGCAGCTTTTTTTTTCTGATTACTGCTTCCACTCCTAAACATCAATGGAACCTACTCTGCATCCTCACTCCAAAACATCAGTCCATTCATGTTCTTGATTTTCCTCATGGGAGTCTTTAAAGACACATCATGACAACCTGAATTTCCTTCTATCACCAATAAGACCATCATGATAATCTGCAACTCAGGATAATCTTCTACTGTCTGCGTTGCTCCTGCCTGGTTTTAGGAAGAAGAAATACACCAACTAGAGAAAGGCACACAGCCATTTGTCTCGTTACAAATTCACAATACTGACTATTTCTTTACTTACCAAAGCTAAGGAAACTTGGTGCTAATCTCTCATTTAACCCCTAGCATATCACTCAATTTAGATATTCTCTCAAACATCCAACTCCGCTTGAACCCCAGCCATACAAAGAAAAGTGTACATCTAGTCTATGTTTTCATTGCTGACAAATTCCCTTTCACGTGTATTTTGTTTCTATCTACAGACTTGCAGGGTACCTTGAAATTGTTCCCTGTGGGATGCTATGTGTATTTGTATTTTCCTAATCTACTTCCGCCCCTAAAATGTGCCCTCCCACACTTCCCTCCAGACAAGATATTCTTGCTGCCAATACACAGGTATCCAGTCTAATCTCAATCTGGAAATGAATATTTTCAGAGAGTTCTTTCTAATTCTCTACCACCCTGATCCATGGGAACTCCTAGTACTGGGCACATACTACTTGAGTATCTTGGGTGAGTCAAACAATTAATAAATAATAAGCAATTACCATGTGTTTGGCACTGTGCTAAGCACTGGGGATACAAAGAAAGGCAAAAACATGGGCCCTCCCCTCAAGGAACTCATAAACCAACGGAGGAGACAATAGGCAAACAACCACATACGCACAAGATTAATGCAGAATAAATAAAAGGCAGTGGCAGACAAAAGGACTGGAAAAGGCTTCCTGCAGAAGGTGGGCTTTCCGCTGAGTTTTGAAGGAAGTAGGGAAGCAACAAGGTGGAAGTGAGAAGGGAGGGAATTTCAGGCACACAGGAAAGCCAGTATAAATGTACAGAGTTAGGATATGGAGCGTTCTGTCTGAGAACAGGAAGGCAGCATACCTGGCTTATGATCCAGTGCCTGAAGGGGAACAAAGTCTAAGAATTCTGGGAGGCAGGAAGGGGCCAGGTGACAAAGAGAACTTTAAGTGCCAGAGATTTTTATCTTTGATGCTGAGCCGCTAGAGTTCATGGGGGCCATCTCCAGTCTTCCTGACCTAGATCTATTTGCTCTGGAGGAGAGAGTGAAGCTGGTGACTTTGCACAGCCCTCCCCCACTTAAATCCAATTCACCTGATGTCATGGCATCACCTTCCTGATGTCACAGCCCTCTAGGAGAACAAAGGACAAACAACCAAAAACAACCAGAGCTCACTGAGCAGGATGGTGACACGGTCAGACCTAGGCTTTAGGAAAATCACTGTGGCAGCTAAGTGGAGGATGGATTGGAGGCGGGGAGGCAGATTTAAGGTATGGAGATCAGTTAGAAGGCCACAGAGTTCGCACGCAGTGATGAGGGCTGGAACCAGGGCTGTAGTTGTGTGAGTGGAGAGAAGATGATATATACAAGACATGTTGTCAAGGTAGAAACGACGAGATTTGGCTGTGTGGGGTAGCAGTGAGTGAAGAGTGAGGAACAACACTGAGGTGACCAGAAGGATGGCGGTGCCCTTGTCAGTAGGAGGGCAGTTAGGACAGAGAGAAGGTTTGGGGAGAAAGACTAGTTCTGGTATGGACATGTTAAGTTGGCAAAGCCTATGGGGCTTCCAGTTCAACATGTCAAAAAGGCAGTTGGTAATACCCAACTTGAGTTCAGTAAAGAGTCTAGTGCTGGGGACAGAGAAAATACCTGGAGCCAATTAGATAATAACAACAGCTAGCCTTCACGCAGCACTCTACGGTCTGCAAAGGGCCTTATATGTGTCGTCTCATTTGATCTTCACCTCAGCCCTATTATTGCCCCCATTTTATAGGTGTGGAAACTGAGGCTGAGAGGTCAGGTCCCCTGGTTGATTTGCCCAGGGTTATGCAAACAAGAAGTCACTGAGGCTGCATTTGAACTCGGGTCTTCTGACTCCAGGTCTAGCATTCTACTTCCTGCATCATCGGGCTGCCAATTATCAAAAGGGAACATACAACACCAGGATCTTTTCATCTGAGATCTATAAACTTAGTTTTTCTGCATTTGAATATAGTTGGTTTCTCTTGTAATTCTATGCATTTTGTTTTCTGCATTTAAAGCATTATCCTGAGATGGGGTCTACAGGCTTCCCTAGAATGTCCAAAAGGTCTCAATGACATGAAAAGGCTTAACAGTACTTGGTAGGGAAGAACATGGCTCCTCAGGCGATGTCAAGTCTCCCGGGTCCCTGCAGAAGAGAAAGCAGCTACCCCTGCCTGGAGATTGCCGGGGCAAGGCCGGGAAAAGTGAAGCTCCAACTTACCTGGGCTCCAGTTGTGAGGATGGCTGGGACCATGCCCTTCAAGAATCAGCAGAACCTTTCACCGGCGTGCCTAGGATGAGGAAGGACCCGTGAGCAGAATGGCCTTTCCCAGCAGCTCTTAGACCCATCCAGGGGGCCAAAATGCCCTTGTCCCCCCCATCCTCAAAAAACCCCCTTTACTTAATTTATCCATCCTTTATCTCTCTTCCCTTTCGTGGCTAAACTCCTTGAGAAGGCCTTCCATAATCGGTGCCTCCATCTCCTTTCTCACTCTCTTAACTCTTTGTAGTCTGGTTTCCAACCTCCTCATTCAACTCAAACCGCTCTCCAAAATGACCAATGATCTCTTAATTGCCAAACCTAACAGCCTTTAGCTTATCCTCATCCTTCCGGACCTCCCTACAGCCTTTCACCCCGTTTATGACCCCCTTCTCCCTGGGGTTCTCTTGGCTCTCCTCCTACCTACCTGGCTGCTTCTTCTCTGTCTCCTTTGCATTAACTTCACCCAGGCCAGACCGGGTAACTGTGGGGATCCCCCGGGGCCCCCATCTCTGTTTATACTAGCTCTAAATGCGCACTTGGGGATCTCATCATTATCTTCATGCAGATGATTCTCGGACCTGTTTTCGAATCATCACCTGCCTGGGACATCACCGATGGTCTCAAACCCAACACGTCTGAAACCGTCCCAGCTTCCTGCTGAGGTCCCCCCCAGCCTCCCAGGCCCCGAGGCTCACCCCCAAAATCCAATGCTGCCACGACGGGTCAGTTTCACCTCTGCACAACTCGGCCCTCCGCCAGCCCCCTCCGGTCCGGGCCCCACGAGGAGCCCCCCTACTGCACCCGCTGCCCGGGGTCCGCGGGCCACGAGCCCCGCCCCACTCCGGCCCACGTCCAGCCCCTGCTCCAGGATGCCCCGCGGCTCCCTCACCTCGGCCCGGCGTTCAGGGCCCTCGCGCCCGGCCGCTCCCTCCCCTTCCGGTCAGTCTCCCGGCACCACGGCCTCTCTCCGCCGCTGCCATCGCCCTTCTCGCCGCCCCACGCCCCGACGGCTCCGGGCATCTCACCGGCCGCCCCTCCTGGAGCACCCTCCCTCCCGGCTTCCCCCAATCCTGCCGTGGGCCGCCTCTCCTCCTCCCCGGGTGTAGCTCGCTGGGCGTGGGGGCTGGCCGCTCGTCTCCCCCATTAGACTGGAAACTCCCCGAGGGCAGGCACCGGCCTCCGCCCTCCTGGACTCTTCACCGCTCAGCACAAGGCCCGGTACACAGCAGGCACTTCATAAATGCTTCCTGGCCCAGCAGCCGCGCTCTCCTCGGAGCCAGGACCTGCCCGCCCGAGGGGCACGACCCCGACCCCAGGGCTCCCCCGCACGGGGGGTGGGGGAGGCGGAGGGGGGAGGATCCTCCGGGGGCAGGTCACCGGCTGAGAGGACACTCACGGAGGAGACAGGCCCGGCAGGACGCAAACAAAAGGCAGCGGAAGCGGAAGTGCGGTGGCCGCATCGCAGTCAAGTGCGGAAGAGTCTCCTCCCACCCACCCAACCATTCCCATGGCAACCGCCCGCAGGGACTTCTGGGAAACGTAGTTCTGAGGCCAAAGGGGACTTGCGCGCTGCTCTGAGGGCTCAGGCTTAAAGAAAAACGCAAGAATTTGTTTTTTTTTTTAAATCTGATTTTGTAAAATTTTATAAAGAAACTTCAGTATTTTGATTGGAGCTCCATTAAATATGGAAATTAACTTTGCAATTATTTTCAGTCTATCTAAATATTTAATGCCCCTCTAATTATTTGGGGCTATCTTTATTTCATTCATAGTAGGTTTATAGTTATACAAAGCACATTCATTTCTATGTAGGTTAATTACTGAGGGCAGCTAAGTGGTGTAGTGGAGAGAGCCCTAGGCCTGGAATCAGGAAGATCTGAGTTCAAATCCATCCTCAGACACTAATTAGCCATATGACCTAGGGCAAGTCACTTAAGCCCTATTCGCCTCAGTTGCTCATCTTTAAAATAGGGACACACTGGAGAAGGAAATGGCAAACCACTTCAGCATCTTTGCCAAGAAAACCCCACGGACATAAAGTCCATTGGGTCACAAAGAGTTGGACACAACTGAACAACAAGACAAATTACTATCTACTTGAAGAGGGTTTCTCATTTTATTTAAGTTTTCTCAAGCATTATTGCTAGTAAATTAAGAATATGAGTAACTTCAGTGGGTTAATACGGTCTCCTTTATATTTGCTTGATTCATTTGCCTCTGTTAAGTTTTTGATTGTGACAGTTGTATGTTGGTGATACACTTACATGCAATCTACAAATAATATTCTGCGTTCATTTCCAGTGATAATCCCTCTTCAATCATTTTCCCATCTAACATAGTTGCCAGAATTTTCTTTTTTTTGGGGGGGGGGGGTTCTTTTAGGCAATTGGGGTTAAGTAACTTGCCCAGGGTCCCACAGCTAGTATGTGTCAAGTGTTCGATCTGAGACCGGATTTGAACTCAGGTCCTTCTGACTTCAGGGCCAGTGCTCTATCCACTGCGCCACCTAGCTGCCCCCCAGAATTTTCAATACAATGTCAGGTACTCCGAGAATTTGTAATACTTTCAATAAATATTTCTAAATTGAATTGAAAGTAGCTCTGTGAAGATCTGACTTCAGATAAACTAGAGGCTCAGCTTTCACCTCCTTACTGCCTGGCCACTGATCAGCTCTCTTTGCTGGGAATGACTCCCTTACTCGATCACTCAGGAGGCCATGACCAGGACTGTCTTTTCACATCCTTAAGTTCCATGACTCCATTGCTTGAACAGGTTGGGCTGGGGGAGTGGGAGGGGGTGGGGTCAGGGAGGATGCAAGGGGAAAAACATGATCTGCTTGTTTGAAAAGGTCTTCCTCCAATACTAAGCCCCAGTTAGAAACATAGAAAGGGAATTCTATAGCTCTCTAGTGAGTCTTCTGATTCTTGGTGTGTGAGCACATGAAGTAGAAACCATCGTCTTCATGGCACCCCCTGCAAATAATCTAAAAAGAGAATCTTCTACCTTAGGGTAATGTAAAGTTGATTGTAAACTTTAAAATGTATCCTAATCTGTTTTTTCATAAATGATAATTAAAATTGGCATTTTCAGAAGTTGGGACCTACAGGAAAATAAGTATCTGTGTTAACTATTAAAATCCGAAGTGAATGTTGGATTTTATCAAAGGATTTTTATGCAACTGTTGATATAATCACTTGTAGTTCTTTCAGATTATTGTTTATTTGTTGCATTATAGTTAATAGTTTTTCTGATGTTGAAGGAGCCTTTCATATCTCATATAAACTATGTATGGTCAAGAGCAGTGGTGTTGACCTCAAGTAGAAACAGGGGCCACTAATATGTACATAGGGATCCCTATGGGACACATATTGACTTAATTTTAAAATATAATGTTGTCTATGCTTTATTGTATTTATATTTATTTTGTTAAACATTTCTGTTTGGGCTATACTTGGGAGTGTTGTGGGGGCATGCAGCTCCTTGGCTATGTGTTTGACCCCTCTGGCCAAGAGTAATTTTTAAAATGTATTGCTAAAGTCTGTTATCTAATATTTTATTAAATATTTTTGCACATGGAAATTCATCTCTATATTTGTTTCTTAGTATTATTTTTCCTCATTTTAAATTCCATGTTAAACTTACCTCCTAAGAGGTATCAGGTAAGGTGTTAGATTTATGACTAATTTCTGTAATACAGGGATTATTTGCTCTTGGAAGGTTTGAGAATATGCACCTGTGGATCCATATGGACCATGCAGTTTATTGCAGGAGAACTTTGTTATGATTATTTCTTCCTTCAGAATTTTCTACTTAAGAAATTTATTTCTTATTATGTTCATCTAGAAAATTTATTTTTATAGATATTCACCTATTCCTTTAACTTCTTTTTTTCTTGGTTAGAATATAGCTGTGTGCAATATTCCCTAATAGACATAATTTCTTTTGTAGTTGTTATTATATCTAATATACCACATGCAATTTTGCTAATTTGCATGTTCTAATACATTTTATCAAATTCTCAACTTTATTGGTCTGTTCCAAAAACCAGTCCCTGGTTCTATTTATCACTTCAACTGTCTTCTCATTTTCTATTTTATTTATTTCTTGGCTTAACTTTGAAAATCTCTGCTTATTTTCCTTTGTTCCCTTTCTTGTACCTTTAGGTGGAAGCTTCATGTTTTTTTCTTTCCTTTTTGCAACATTTTCTGGAGAGCAATATAAATATTCCTTTAAGAATGCTTGAGGTTGACTCTTTATAGATTTCAATTGATGGTATTACTGCCAGTTTTCAAATAATTTTTCTGATTTTAAAACTCTATTCATTCTTCACTAGTTTCTCAATTTTAGTCAGTTAACAAGAATTGATTAAGGACTTATAAGTGCTAGGCATTGTGCTAAGTGCTAGAGACATAAAGAAAGGAGAAAATAGTACTGCCTTCAAGAAGCAGACATTCTAATGGGGGAGACAACATGTAAAAAAGTAGTCAAATAGAAGACAAACATAAAATAGATGGAGAGTAATCTGAGAGAGGAAGTCACTAGCCTGGGGTTGAGAAAGAATTGCTTAGAAGAGGAGCAGAGAAGCCTGACTTTAATCTTGGTCTCCTCACTCTCTTGGACAGAGGAGGGTTTTGTGAGCTTTCAAGAATCCCAAGGATTTTTGACATCCCACCAGCATCCTAGCAGTATCATCTGAATTGCCCCCATCAAAAACTGAGGACAGACTGGACGCAATGAGGAAAGATAGCTTCAAGGCTCTACAAGGAACCCAGAAGAAAAGCTCTACCATGCCTAAGGGGATCTTCATGAGTAATCAATGAATAAGAAAAAAAGACAGAAAAAAAAAAGCAACCAGCAATTTCTAGCCACATGTACTTGCTAAGCTTGAACTGACTCTCTCCTGGACTCTTATGTTCTTAAGTGGAATAGAGTGTAATAGACTTTGGGGGGATCTTTTGTACCAACTCTTTTTACCATACCACCTAGGTGAATTTGTTGCTATTGTTCCGTTGTTTTAGTGATGTCCAACTCTTCGTGAACCCATTTGGGTTTGTTTTATTGGGAGGGAGGGGTAAAAATACTGGAATGGTTTGCCATTTCCTTCTTCAACTTATTTTACAGATGAAGAACTGAGGCAAACAGGGTAAGTGACTTACCCAGGGTCACACAGCTAGTAAATGTCTGAGACCAAATTTGAACTCAGGAAGATGAGTTTTCCTGACTTTGGACCTAGCACTTTATTCACTGTACCACCTAGCTGCCTCCTTAGTAAATAACTTTCTCTAAATAACAAATTCTCTGGCTAACGGATATCAACAGATAATCATGGGGAAGCACACTGATGGGGGCTCATGAGCTAGAATACCAGAAAGATACCCTCTAACTCCTCAGGATTAACTCTGTAATAAAGAAGGGACAAGTAGCAATCTGCCAGTACAACTAGAAGTCGGGAGAGTGAGCCAGAGAACGTGCCAGACAGACTGGAAAGGTAGGATAGAGAAAGGTTACAAAGTGCTTTAAAAGGCACAGGACTTGATATTTGATCCCAGAGGTAATAGGAACCCACTGGTACTGACTGAGTAGGAGAATAATGTTGTTGAGATTGATGCTTTTGAAAATTAGCCTTGGCCAAAAACTGGAGAGACTTGAGTCAGGGAGACCAGGTAGAACGGTATTCCAATAGTCCAAGAAAATGGTAATGTAGGCCGGAATGAAGGTTGTGGCTGGATCAGTGGAGAGAATGGGATATATGTGAGAGACAGAAATGGTGGAAGTCAGGTTTGGCAATGGATTGGATATGTGGGGTGAGGTAGACTGTGGACTCAAGGATGTAACAAGATTGTGAGCCTTGTTGATTGTGAGGATGGTGGTACCCCCAACATTATTAACAGGAAAGCTGGGAAGAG